CGAAAAATAATATCGGAACTGAACTATTATTATACTGATAAAAGTTGGGATATTACACTTTTTAACCGATTGTGATTTCTCCTTCAATTTAGTTTGTGATTTCTCCTTCATTTCGGCATGATATTTTTCTAATTTTGACTTATCCTTATAGGATTTCACTTTTTTTCTCACCATCTTCAAGCAATTTAGATTTTGTCGAAAGTTGAGAGATGAGATTTTTTGGGGTATCGAGAATTAGGTTTTGAGATTGGGAGAAATGTGACGATTAAGTTGCATTTTTGGGGGCAAAATCTGATCAGTTTCGCGCCCTTTCTTATCCTGCCAAGTCATTAAACAATCATTCTACCTCAGAAAAAAATACGCCACGTCGATATTTAATCTGGGGGTGGGATAAAATAGGACCAACTTTGATTAAATGGACAATTTATAGGACCAAGAATGAAAGTGGCCAATGGCGGGGTGGTTTTTTCGACAGAGGCCAACTTAGAGGACCAAAAATGAAATTTTTCCCTCCGGTCAGGTTTAGTTATGAGGATATGGTGGCATTTACTCTTACGATCACTAGTGTGGATCCTTGTAATTTCTAGGAGGCTGTTTCTGGTGAGAATAGTGATAGATGGAGCGCTGCCATGGAAGAAGAGATGAATTCTGTACATAATAATCAAACATGGGAGTTGGATGTTCTTCCCAAAGGGAAGAAAGCTATTGGTTGTAGGTGGATTTACACAAGGAAGTCATCGGTAACAGAAAAAGGAGGGAAAAGGTTCAAGGCTCGATTGGTGGCTAAAGGATACTCACAACAAAAGGGGATTGACTATGATGAGACATTTTCTCCTGTGGTTAGACATATTTCGATCAGGGTTGTACTTGCATTGGTGGCTAGTTGGGATTTTCATTTGGAGCATATGGATGTGAAGACTGCTTTCTTGCATGGTGATCTCGCAGAGCCTATTTAAATTGTAGCAGCCAGAGGGTTTTGTTCAACCAGGGAAGGAGCATTTATTTTGCAGGTTGAAGATATCCTTGTATGGCTTGAAGCAAGCATCACGGCAGTGGAATATACAGTTTGATTCGTATATGTTGAAGATTGGCTACAAGCGTTGTGAGTTCGAGTGTTGTGTTTACACTAAGAGCCTTGGTGATTGTTCTATGATTTTTTTGTTACTTTATGTTGATGATATGCTTATTGCTGCCAAAAATATGCGTGATATTGTTGATCTGAAAAGCCTTTGAAGTCAAAAATTTGAGTTGAAGGATTTGAGGGCTGCGAAGAAGATTCTTGGGATGTAGATTCACAGGGATAGAGGATCAAAGAAGCTGTGGTTATCTCAGAAGGGTTATATGGAGAAGGTGCTACAGAGGTTTGGGATGAATGAAGCAAAACCGGTTAACACTCCATTAGCAAACCACTTCAAGCTTTCTGTTGATCAGTGCCCCATGTCGGACAAGGAGACTCAGGATATGGTGGAGATACCTTATGCCAGTGCTGTTGGATGTCTGATGTATGCCATGGTATGTACTCGTCCTGATTTAGCTCATGCTGTTGGTCAAGTTTTCAAGTATATGTCTAGGCCGGATAAACAGTATTGGGAGGCAGTCAAATGGATTTTCAGATATTTGAAAGGCACTGTGGGACATGGTATTGTGTTTGAAGATCAGCGGTTGGATCCTTTGGTTATAGTATATGTGGATTCTGATTATGCTGGGGACTTGGATAATAGGCCGGGTAAACAACATTGGAAGGCAGTCAAATGGATTTTCAGATATTTGAAAGGCACTGCGGGGCATGGTATTATGTTTGGAGATCAGCGGTTGGATCCTGTGGTTGTAGGATATGTGGATTCTGATTATGCTGGGGACTTGGATAATAGGAGATCCACCACTGGGTATGTCTTTACTTTTGGTGGAGGGCGTATTTGTTGGAGGTCGAATACTCAGCCTATAGTTGCTATATCTACAACTGAAGCTGAATATATTGCTTTGGCTGAAGTGGCAAAGGAAGCAGTGTGGCCTGCTGGATAGGTTAGAGAGTTGGGTATTCAGCAAGGTGGAGTTCTAGTACATTGTGATAGTCAGAGTGCCATTCATTTGGCTAAGAATCAGATATATCATGCTAGGACGAAGCATATTGATGTGAGGTTCCACAAGATTAGGGAATGGATTGCCTCTGGTGATATTCAGTTGGAGAAAGTTCATACTGAAGAGAATGCTACTGATATGTTGACTAAGACTGTTACTTCTGACAAATTCAAGCATTGTTTGTTGAATGTTTCTGCATGCTAGAGTTTCATGGTACCCCCGGCCTGCTTGGTGTGTCTCGTAGAGGTGCTCGCTATTGTGTTCTCCTAAGGAGGTGATATATTCGCCAAGGTGGAGATTTGTTGGTATGGCTCATATATTGACAAAAGAAAGGGGCAGGCTGATGCCTGCGAGAATAACAGAGCGAACGTAGCGAGGGAAGCAGAGCGACCGAGAAAAGTGAGCAGAGTAGAGCGAGCAGGCATCAGCCCCTGTTGGGCTGGGTCGATTAGTTTGGCCGGGGGTGTGGGGGCGGAGCCCCCGCGGTACAGTACAAGGTATTTAAGTAAATTTATACCTTGTAGGGTTTTAGAATAAATACACGGTGTAATATCCCATCAGTTTATCAATATAAATCATGTTTTTAGTTCTGATATTAATTTTCGGAATTAATTATTTTCAGTCATTTCAGTCGACATTACCGAATATTATTTTCGACGTACCGTTTACGTTTGGAATAATTTTGGTAATTAAGCATTGTATTAAACATTAATTAGTGATTAATTTAAAACTTAATCATGTGTCAATGTGGATTAGCCGTATGGAAATATTCCACTTCATTTAAAAGCCGTACGGCTTTTCCTCCATTATTTCCAATTTTTCCGAGAGCAAATTGTGTGATTTAAGTTATGATTTATGGCATGCAATTAAGGATGAGGTGGAAAGGTTGGAGGGAGATTAGTCATCCTAAATCTCCATTTGAACTCCAAGTGTCTTTAGCTCCTCTTAACACCTCATTACCTCACCACACCAAGGATCATTCGGTGGAGTATATAAGGGGAGTGTTGGGTGGAAATTCTTCCCATTTTCGTCCGCCATATATGTTCCTTTTGTTATTCAGCAAGAGAGTTAGTAAGGTTGAGAGCTTGAAGAGGAGATTTCCTTCGCACATGCACACCCGAGTCATCGCAAGTATCACGCGAGGCGCACAGCAAGCCGCGCCGCACCGCACCGCCAAGAGAGTTTGGCACGCACGCGAACGTCGTAACTAGCGGAGACTATCAACCAGCGGGGAGGTAGTTTAACTCTCTTCCTGTTGTGATTAATAGTATCAAGTATAACTTTGATTATAACTTGAGTTCATCTGCGTCTTAGTCATGTCCGTGTTCGTCGTGCGAGAAGTGCATGTGGGGCATATCATGTTTTAAATTCATACTCTCTCGAGCAATAGTTGTGAAGTCTGTATTTTTATGTTATATCATGTTGTTTCAACTTATGTTGTTCGGAGAGATTTTATGTTTAAAGTGTCGTGTCGGCCGAAGGGCGTGGCCGTGCACGTAGCACGCGCCACGGGCCGTTCACGAGTAACATGTTTGCTAAATAGACATTATTTCGAACCAACATGTTCATTTGTTCAGTACATCATGTTTAGGTTCAGTCATGAATGATTTGCCGAGAGAAAAGCTAAGTTGGTCGAGAAACGACCCAACACCGTCGGCGGCGCACGGTGCGCACGCCACGACCATGTTCAGCTTATGAAGCAATCTTCATGTTTTCATGTGAATTCAGTGTTTATGATCTCGTTATGCTGGTTGATGTCACTTCAGGTCAGATTGTTCATGAGTTCATGCCGGACGGCCGGCAAGGGCCGGCCGTTGCCGCGCTGTCCGCACACAGCGGCA